CTGACACTTTATCGGCTCGTCTACCGGTGACCACAACATTAGCACCGGCTCTGGAGAACTGTACGGCAGTGGCGGCACCGATACCTGAACTCGAGCCTGTGATCAGCACTACTTTACCGCTGAAGTTATATTGGAGAGACATGTTGAGGAAGTTTTATAAATCAAATACAAAAACTCTATACAATATATAAAATGTTTTAAAGTTATATAGTTAACAACACTGTACAAATAAATTATTTTATTAAGTGTTGCATTTATATACCTGCTTTAGTAGGTGTAATTTTTGCCAAGGTTATTTTATTATCAACAATTCAAACAATTTTAATCCCATTATCTATAATATAATAAAGTATAAAATACCGTTAAAGAATATGTATATACACTAAATTCATACACCACTTAATTATATGAATTAAAGTTTAATTAGTTCGTTGTATATAATATATTGATTGTCAAGGTCGTATTATACAATCTAATATAATAACTAATTATCTAACTCAATTACATTATATAGTAAAGAATGAAAAATTATTTAAACCATACAATAACGTTTTAATTATATTTATAGTCATTTATAAAAGTTTCATAACTTACTTTATTTACAAGCAATAATTTTTTGTTACCGTACCTTATTTGAGTTTTATTAATACAGATAAAAGTATTGAGAATTAAAATAACTTTAAAATAAAGATATAACTAACACGTATAAAAGTTATTAGTTATTTTCTAATTAAAACAAATAAAATAAAAGTTGCTAATAATTATTATAAATCGCAATATGAATTAGTAGATTGTACTGTATAGAAAATAATTGAAATTAATGAGCTTTTACTTATTTTAATTTTGGTAATTTAAACATTAATAATAAAATCGTTAATTAAGATAATACTAGGATTTATTTGAGACATATAATGAGTTTACATCAAATCCTTAAGGGCTTCAGCATTGAGAACATTACCAGCGATCTGACCACCATCTGAGACCAGGTTAGTGCCCGTGATGAAAGCAGCATGGTCACTGGCCAGGTATAGGATTGAATCAGCAATGTCTTTGGCAAACCCTGCTCGACCCAAAGGCATCATTTTGCCAAAACCCTCAAAAAATTTGTCGGACTCGGAGGTAGGTATCCCCATAGCCAACAGGAACTCAGTGCGAACTGGTCCGGGACTATAATGTTTAATGGATTATTAAATTAATTGTGTTATGGTACAATGTTTAATAAATAACTAACTTGATGACATTAACGCGAATACGTTTGGGTCCCAACTCCGCGGCCATACATTTGGTGAACATATCCAGAGCACTCTTAGCCATACAATAGGGCGACCACCCGGCAAACTGGAGATTTAAAAAATTATATTATATTTTATATAATTTCCAATTAACAAGTTATTATTTGCTTACGGATCTCAAACCGGCGACACTCGAGATGTTGATTATATTTCCCTTTGTTTTCTCCAAATGTTCGACACATATATGCGTTAAATAGACCACAGAATTGAGATTCAATTGAATTACTTTAGAGAAATTCTCGTAGAAATCCTTATCATCCACTTTAGCCGTAATACTTCCGCCGGCGTTGTTCACCAAAACATCGAGTTTTCCAAAGTGTTTGACAGTTGTGTCCACAAGTCGTCGCAAGTCTTCCGGTTTAGTCACATCCGCCACCACTTCCAGTGCTTTCGACTGTTTCGGCGATACTTTGAGACACTCTTTGGCCACTTCTGACACTCTATCGGCTCGTCTACCGGTGACCACAACATTAGCACCGGCTCTGGAGAACTGTACGGCAGTGGCGGCACCGATACCTGAACTCGAGCCTGTGATCAGCACTACTCTACCGGTAAAATTGAATTTTAGTGACATTTTAGAAATACTGTCTATTGTTTGATAATACTAAATAAACTATTAAAGTAATTGTTAAAACCAATAATGAAATGGTAGGCTAAAATCCCAGTCTTTTATATGTATCAATTATGAACTAACCAAGGTTATTGGTTGTTTGTCATTGAAAGTGGACAATAAGTTTAATTTGATTAAGTAGCTTATCGCTGATTCTATCGTTTATCTAATTGTGTATTAATGTAATGTATAATTGTACTCAATTAACGTTGAGGAATACCGGCATTAAACACATACCAGCATCTCACTCACTCATTAATAAATAAATCATCTTAATTTAGTCTCACAATAATTTATATAATTTTTCTAAAAAGGGAAATACATAATTAAGTTGACAATTTGAACAATCCTATTATTTATGTAATTAAACAAATATTCAATCCTTGAGCACTAGAATTATTACATCAAACCCTACTACAAAACCATGTATTTATAATAACTACTTGAAATCTTTAAATATTTATTTATGAACACACCATACAATTATTTTAATAGAAAGTAACATTAGCTAATAAGAGAATTTAGTATTAACAAAAAAATAATTTTAATTAATAAATACAGTATAAAATAATTTTGATTAGACCAAGAATCTATTAATCCATTTCAGTGTATTCATCAATCTTTGAATCATTGATATTATGATTTCCATTCGTATTGTAGTTAACGTTATAATTGTTGTTTTCATTTGAGAGGTCACTGTCTCGTCGGTCGTCTCCTTTTCCGCGCAAATTGAATACAAGTATACCTGAAATCTGTGGAGAAATTGTTATTTAATAAAACTATAGAAAGAAAATGATTTAATTCACAAATAGGAACTCCAGGGCCACCATCGGTACTGTAGCCCATCTATAGCCAAGTTGGCCCATCAAATATCCGCCAATCGCCGGCCCTATAGCTGATCCCAATGCAAAGGCTGATGAAAAACTTGCGGATATCACGGCATATGTGCTGACATTTTCGGGGTAACCCTTATTTCTATAGTTAATTAAATTACTATGAAATTTACGTTTTATAAAACTATTAATGAGTTTTCATTTCCTACATAATCTTCTGAAATCCATGGGTAAAACTGCCCACAATTATGCCCCCAAATGCAATTCCCAAACATATTTGACCGATAATTACGAGCCATAGGTTGCTAAAAAATATTTATATTGTATAATAAATAGTTTATTTATTTTTAACTCACGGGTTGATAGGTATGAAAGGCAATGGACCGGCGATTATATAGTTTAACATTGAGAAAACACAGCCGGCTATACATAGGGAGTGCTTACTGGCCACTTGGTCCACCAGACTGGCCCAGTAGGGGTTGAACATGGCGTAGAAAGCACCTTGCACCACAAATATAGCACCCTCCACTGATGGTGATAGGTGTTGGATCTAAACATTATTCATTATCGTAAGCTCCATGTCCATTATAGGGACAGACATACAGTTTTGAGATGCAAATCAAGGGTCGCGTCGTTAAAGCCAATGAGAATACAGCCGTTGATTGTAATCAAGAGATTGATTGAAAATTTCATTATCGTAAGCTCCATGTCCATTATAGGGACAGACATACAGTTTTGAGATGCAAATCAAGGGTCGCGTCGTTAAAGCCAATGAGAATACAGCCGTTGATTGTAATCAAGAGATTGATTGAAAAGTCAAAGTTTTTACATATGGTTAGTATACTTGTCTTTTCGGTATTGCTTTCGGGTTTGACTTTAATTATAAAAGTTCTTCATTTAGATTAAGATCTTTAAGATAAATAAAAAATTTACTTTCATTTGTGATGAGACATTGGGCCAAAAGTGCGCCCAAAATGATAAAAGCACCCAGCACTTCAAATGGCAACATAAAGCCTGCATTTATATATGCACCCAATTCAGCCAGTAAACCACCAATACCCGGCCCAAATATCATACCAATTGCGTAAAACATTTCGGTTAGTGCCTTGATGTCAAAAATATTAAATATTTAAATATTCGCTTGATAAAATGAATAATGAATAAGCTCACAAATATCCGGGCGAAACTCTGTGAGAATTTAAGTCCAGCTATAGTCCAAGCGCTGATGAAAAACATGGACGCACCCAGACCCTCTATGGTACGTATTAACATACTGGCCCCGGTGAAAATTGCCCCTGGTGGCGATGCTTGTAAAAAGCCAAATATTAAGCTACTTATGCCAGCGATTAATAAACCACTAATTAATGAGTGCTTTGGATTTAGATATGATATCTAATTTATTATTAAGAAAAGTTTTTTTTAATAAGAGCTTCAATATTTTTTAGTTTAAGTTTTCAATATTTATTGATAGTATCAGTGAAAAATGACTTAAAAAATAAAATTAAGTTATTTGCCAATTAATATAATATTCAATATTTTTTACTTAATTATAAAATACTCACAAATTTCCCAAATACTAGAGAACCAAAAAATATAGCCACTTGATACTGGGACATTATCAATCCTATCCAGGTCTCTGATATACCTTTTACTTTGCCCTGATAATTAGTAAATTGTTGAAAACAAATTTATAAATTTACAATAAATAATTATATAAAAAATAAATACACAGTACCTCACTCGGAAACAGTAGTCCTAACACTGAGTAGGTACTGCCCACACAAAAATTACCATAACACAATACAATAGTAGCTAAGAGTCTCTCATATTTGTACTGTTTCAATTTTTCCCTGGACTCAATACAATCTCTAATACGCCGGCCCTCGCAGTCTAGTCCATATTTTTCATTTTGGTATGAATTCTGTATGGCTCCCAGTCCTATGGGCACCTGTATCCCAGATGCCCGACGATTTTGGTACACAAAACTCTCGCCATAAAAGGTCGATGAACGTCGCCTATAAATACTACCTCGGTTCATTTTACTTTAATTATTTATATAGAAATTTGTCAATTAGATTTTAAAACACAATTCAAATTATTGGTAATTTGTGACTACATATGAGACAATGAGTCAATACAAAGGTTTTGTGGGTTTCACTGAACGGATTGTTAAACAATAGAATTGTTTTAAATAAGTGAGATACCAAGGTACAAATGGTTATATTTAAAAAATCATATATAATTTTTAATAATATAATAACTTATACTTTTGAAAATATTAATTTCTACATAATGTTATTTAATGTAAAATTTTTTTATTTATGAATGTGTTTTTGTTTATAAATTTAGATTGGTATATTTAGGTATATTTTATATTTTAGGGAAAACCTTGGCCCTTGTAGTTATTTGGTGTACATTTCTACCAACAAGTGTTACGTATAATATTATTAATAATAAAGACCATTAGGATACTAGTAATTAATGATCAAGTACAAATGTGTTTAGTAACTTTCCTGTTAGTGAGACGTTTTATTATTACGTTTTTTTATTAATCCAATGATTTGATTAGAAAATTAATTGATTGATTTTATAAACTTGCACTTAATATTACAGTGGTGTAATAATTGAAAGTGCAAAAAAGTGAATTAATACAATATTGATTTTATTTTAAATCTTAGATAAATAATTATTGAGAATATTGTAACACTTGTTAGCTTCACAATTAATACCCGCCGTAATGTACAGAATAAATACAAATATTGTCGTTATAATTAACATTATATAAAACAAAATGATTCTGATAATTATTAACATTGTTTGAAATATAACAACATAAATAACTATTATTAAAGTAAGCGCATATAAAGTCCATATAATAAACAAATATTTACTCCAAAGCGTATGGTTATAATTATCAATCTCTATGTAGAGATTATTCAAGGGACTTATTTGTTTCGTACAATATATGAAATTGAAATGACCCTTTTTATTATATTTAATAAAGTGTTCATTGGTTGCATATAATTTATGTTTTAAATAGAAACATAATATATAAATGTATACTAATAGCCATACATTTATACTGCAGTTATAATAAGTTACAATTGAATAGTGAACTATATTAAATAATCCATAATATAGTGTTTCGTATAGACTACAACTTTTTATATAAGGTGTTATCCATAAAATACTTGAAAATATAACAGTTAGCTTGCAAATAATCGTGGACATTTTAAAAATGATTTGTATCCTTCTAGCTAATTTATAAATAAATTTAGTGTCATATAAATCTAACTGAGCAGGACATATATTTCCTGATAGCATATCAAATAAATTCAAAAATAATGGGGCATTTGATGATCGTTTTGATGTATAATAAAATATGAGATGATTTGCAATACTTGTTAACGTTATACCAACAAATGCGAGATTAATATGCGGTGGGATTGACATGAGGTGTGGAAAGTCACCCAAAATGACAAAAATATATCGATACTCTTGTGGTGTCTTTATTGCGATTAGGATTTTAATGATAAAAATCCACAAAATAGTTTGGATTACAAATAGTTTATGTATTATACTTTTGGTGACATTTTTGCTTTCATTTCTAATAATCCAATTTTATACAACTGATACCTTGCTGATCTTGTGGTCAATTCAGTGGGCAATATATGATTAACATGTATTAGATTCTTCATTTTTATATTGTTATTATTTCACATGTATTTATTGTAGGTCAATACAAAAATTGTTACAGTTATAAAGTTTTAGTACAATTTAATTATGATTGTTGACTACACTATTATTCCAGTACTTTATAAACTTTGCAAAAAAGTTCCCTAATTGTTTTTACAATTAATAATTAATTTGTGTAATTAGTATTTTTATTAATAGCAAATTATATATTTTATTATATTAATTGTTATTAGTAGAATAGTTAGATTATTTATCAATTATTGTAACATTATAATCCGGTTCATACCGGTATATTAAGTTAATATTGTAATTAATAATTAATAATTATTGATAATAATGTTTATTAATTATATTGTCATAGTTATTAATATTGTAATTTAGTATTATTGATTAATATTATAATTAAATGATAATTTTGTAATTCATAACGTATTTTACAATAGTATTTTTAAACAAACTATTAACTTAATTCATTTGTAAATGAGATTATTTGTCAAATAATTAAAATAAAATCTTACTATTACTATAGCTCTATAATTAGATAAACTTTAAAATTATCAAATAAATATTATTAAGTACAAACAATTTTTCAACTTATTTTATTATTTAAAACTTCTTTAAATAAAATATTTATAAATTTCAAGCCATGGTTCAGACTATAATACAATCTTTTGTAAATAACTAAATAAGGCTATTAATAATGATTATTATAGTGAATAACTAATACAATGAGACTTAATAGTAATGAAAATACAAAATAATAGTGTAATGAATG